CCCCAAAACCCCAAAACCCCAAAACCCCAAAACCCCTATAAGAATAAGGCACTGAAATTAATAAATAATTATTATGACAAGTCTCTCTCAACTTGATGAAAACTTAAGTGAAGAATTCCTAAATGAAAATGTATCAGTCTCCAGCATCAGAACATCTCCTGGTTTAGAAAAGAACATGTCTGGGATCAAATTCCACTTTAACCCGGGCATAAAACGCAAACTCGAAGTTGAACCATACAAAAAGCTAGAAGATGCTCAAGATCTTTCTCCCTCAATGAAGGATGTTCTACAATTTACTAAAAAACCACGGGGTTTTAAAAAGTACAAGAAGCCAAAGCCACCGTCAAAATCTTTGAAAGTAGGCAAAACCGTAGGAGTTGTTCCTCACAAAGTTTTCATAAGCAGACCCTCAAAAAACCATGAAGACCACCAGAGTATTAAAAGTGAAGCGAAAGTTTGATGGCCAGCCATTAATATTTCATTCAAGAAGGCGATCATTATAAGTGGCATGACCATTCCTGACTTGGGGAAACCATAACTTATTAAGCTTAATAATTTCCAGCATTTCCGTGTCGCGAGGATCTAGGAGTCGACTTTTAGAAGCCTTTGGGTTAAGAGGCGCCTGATTAATTTTTTCCTATTTGAATAGAGCTCAAATGGTGGGAAATTGTTTTTGGGAGTTTTACACGGGGAATTGTAAAGGAAATAGACTACTTTTGGTACGGGAGTCTTGAGGGGGTGGATGCTTATACTATAGTAGAGCATTTGGAGATAATATCGCCTGTTTTGGAGTTTAAAAATGGAGATGTGAGGAGTTCATTGAAGCGAAATGTATCAAAATGAATTTCGGAACTGTATCTTGAGTTAAGCATGAAAAACATTCTATTTTTGAAAATTGCTAGATCTTTCAAAGAGTAAGTCATTCAAGTGTATCTCAATTCATCTACCTAATTTTCACCTAACTTGTTTAAGATTTTGTTATAAAATCTTAATTTACTCTGTATAAAACACCTTCCTGACCAATTTGAAATTAAGACAATTTTATGATTTGAATATTTGAAATAATGCCTATCTATATTTCCATAGATTTGCATAAGTTGCTATAGATCTGGCTCTGTAGAAATAATTTAAGCGTGGCTCTCCATTGCTAAATGTATACTGCACTCTTATTTATCCACAAAGCTCAAGATGAATAGCAAGTGTTTATATAATGACTCTCAAGTTAAATTAAATCAGACTTTGAAAGCTTAAAGTGGCCCAGAGCTTAAGTTCATAGAAGAAGTCGCCTTTGCAAAAAGTAGGACAAATAAGAAAGTGATTTGTATGATAGCCCATTGATTTTTCATTCAACCCCATTTATTACAGCAACTCAGTTTTCTAAAACTAAGCATTGTTAATCATGTGGTAACAATTATGACCCGATGTTTTTTAGGTTTTTTATGAGATTTCAAGACTCTGAAAATACATGAGAGTACTCCTGCAAAGGATCTAGTGATCAAAACTAAACCGTAAGAGATGTTTCAGAATTTTAGCATGAATTATTATGTCTTTAAAAACATCTTCGATTTTGATTGAGACACATCAATCTTGTAATGCTTGCAACTATCTGAAATAATTTTCACAAATTATTATGAAAATTAGGTTATGTCGTTGAGCTTAAGGAGAAAATCTTAAGAAATTATTCTCTTTAATTAAAGTTACTCATGTTTCTGCAAACTTTATATTCATTTCAGTAATCAAAGTAAATTTTCAAGAGCTTAAATATTATCTTCATGGGCGTGATAAAAGTCTTGAAGGATACTTTCCAACCTGGTATATTATTATTGGGTTCTTTAAAAACCGTTATCCCTTAAAAAATTAATTGCCTCTTATCTTTATATAATCTCAACCATATTACAATACCCAGGGGTTTTGGGGTTTTGGGGTTTTGGGGTTTTGGGG